GTTTCTTCTTTTCTTTAGACTAGCCAAACCCAAGTCCTGCAGCTGTTCTTCATAAGTTTCAGTCTCCAGGCCTTTAATCATCTTAGTTACTCATCTCTGAATTTTTTCCAAACTCTCAACATCTTTTTTGTGATATGGTGACCAAAATTGGCTGCAGTATTCCAGGTGTGGTACTAGGACAGCGGTTCTCAACCTATGGGTCGCGACCCCATTTGGGGTCGATCGACCATTTCACGGGGGTTGCCAAGCAAGGCTGTCCGCCATTTTTTTCCCCTTTTCCGGCGGGTGCCTTACCTCCCTTGAGCTGGGCCAGCTGGTGGTCGGCCTGCTCCATCTCTGCCGCTTGCCAGCTAAGCCTCGGCCGGCACAGGGGGCGGAACCATGCATGCGCGGCGCTCCCGGGCAGGGAAAGTCCTCGACTTACGACCGGTTTAGTCCTCGACTTATGACCGGTTTAGTCCTCGACTTACGACCGGTTGGGGGTCGTGGCATTAAAAAGGTTGAGAACCACTGTACTAGGATTTTATAAAGCGGTACTAATACTTCGCATGATCTTGATTCTATGCCTCTGTTTATACAAACCAGGTGTCATGGTTCCGACAGATGAAGCTCTTCAAATGAACTTCGAGGCATTGTTTACCTTAAAGAATCTTTTATTTGAGAAACAAAGTATCGGCACTACATAGTTGAAACCAGAAAATAAATTCCCCTCCCGTGGATACAAAGTAACAAAGTACATGTCAACGCTGCTAATATTGAATATTCTTGCTTTGACAAAATATGCAGAATTGTCTGGTACTTTTAGAGTTAATTCAGATGAGAATGAGAGAGGAGAGAAAAGCGCGTGGAAGGGAACAGAAGTGAATCTTTGCCCTCCAGGCTAATTGGAAGATGTGAATCATGACCCCAAAACAGGGGAGGGGAAATGCCTGGAATGTTATGTGCGAAGGAAGGGAAATTCAGATCTTGGCATTCTCCATACCGTGCTGACACTCCTTTACACTAATAAAGGCTTTTTAGGTTAAACAATGCCTGAAAGTTCTTTGAAGTGATTCATTAGTCAGACACATGACATCATGCCAAGATCCACCAATTTTTTAAACCAATTAAGGGGTCCCGAACCCCGGTCACTATTCCTAAACTAAAGGGATAGACTGACAAAGATTCGGGGAAGATCTCATTATGGAAGGGGAAAGATGGCTTGAGGCCAGCACCTCAGCAGCAGCAGCTTCCCCAGGGAGGGGAACGACAGCAGCAGCAGCTTCCCCAGGGACTGGAGCAGCAGCCAGCCAGCCGGGGGAGAAAGAACTCTGGCAGATCTCCCAGCTGGGAGCAAAGACTTCAAAAGCAGAATGGAGAGATAACGAAATTTTGGGTGAGTCACTGGAAAGATTTCAAAACCCAGAGGTGAAAAGCAGAAATCAATTCCTGCAGAGAGGAGCCTACAGCCCGTCCATTGCACATCAGAAAGCCTTTCAGATCCTGTCTTCCCCTGCCAGGGACCCAACCCTGAAGAGAGAGGAGAATCCAGTCTGAGGCATATGCAGCAATGGGGAGATTGGGTTCCCCAGCAGATGGATGGTCAGCAATCTCTGAGCTTGCCACAACTAATAGAGGCCTTGCAACAGCTTGGGGTGGTGCAGAAGCCAAGAGAGAGAATGACCACAGCAGGGAGATTGGCCACAGCCCCTGAACGTGCAACCCTTGGGCATAGATCTGCAGCCAGGATGGGGCCAGCAGCAACAGCCACTGTGGGGGCCCCAACAGCCTATAATTGCACCACTTTTCAGAGCAACCTTCGATGGGGACCCAGAGAAGCTGTTTTTTTTTCATCAACCAAGTGCGTTCTCATTTGAATTGCTGGGCTTATCTCTACCCGGACCCGGGGGCCATGGTCGATGTGATTGCGTCCAGCCTAGAGGAAGAAGCATCCGAATGGCTGAACAATTTATATAATGAACAAGCCCCTGAATTGGAGGACCCCACCTCTTCCTCCTAGGGCTGAGAGAAAGATTTGAGGACCCATCTATTGGTCTTAAAGCAAGAGAACAAATCCACAAAATAAAACAAGCCAGCAGGCCTGCCCTGGAGTACGTGCAGGAATTTTGCAAGATAGCAAGTCGAATAGAAGGGTGGCCTGAGCAATCCCTAATCCAGCGGTTCTCAACCTATGGGTCGCGACCCCATTTGGGGTCGATCGACCATTTCACGGGGGTCGCCAAGCAAGGCTGTCCGCCATTTTTTTCCCCTTTTCCGGCGGGTGCCTTACCTCCCTTGAGCTGGGCCAGCTGGTGGTCGGCCTGCTCCGTCTCTGCCGCTTGCCAGCTATGCCTTGGCCGGCGCAGGGGGCGGACCCACGCATGCGCGGCGCTCCCGGGCAGGGAAAGTCCTCAACTTACGACCGGTTGGGTAGTCCTCGACTTATGACTGGTTTAGTCCTCGACTTACGACCAGTTTAGTCCTCGATTTACGACCGCTTGGGGTCCCGGCATTAAAAAGGTTGAGAACCACTGCCCTAATCCATCACTTCATCGAAGGATTAGACGATCACTTCTCTCAGGCCTGCATCTATCGAGCAGTACCTGATCAGCTGCAAGAATGGTACCAGGCAGTGGTGAAGCTAGATGTTCAGCTCGCCTGCTATAAGAAGCCACCCCCACCTGAATCTGAGCAGCCGCCAGAGCAACCCAGACAGCAATCACCCCCACAAAAACCTCCAACTACTGCAATGGCTGAGAGACCCAGACCATCTGCAGGCCCATCAAATAAGTGTTTTCGGTGTGGACAAGAGGGACATCAAGCGGCAACCTGTCCAGTCCCCTATCCCCAACTGCAGAGCAGACCGGAACCAGCGGCTAACAAGAGAAAAATCCAACCGGGTCACGCAAGCACCTATTGCCCAGATTAAACCACCCATACAGGAGCACGCTGGGACTCTGAATGGACCCGCCCCTGCTCTACTCTCCTTTGACAGCAACGATGAAGGAGAGAACAACCCGATGATGAATCGACAAATCCTGCCTTTTTCACTGGCCGCCAAACTTATAATCCCTAAGTCTGGGGCACAAATGGACTTAAACGTGCTAATTGATTCTGGATGCACCCACTGCATTATTAGTCTGCGGTTTGCCATGAAAATGGACATACGGGCAAAACAGCTCTCCAAACCTGTGAGGTTTGAGCAAGCTGATGGCTCCCTGATGGGAGGGACTCTTGTCACACAATTAACTAAGCCCCTACGCCTAGAAATAGGTGAGTACTGGGAGTGGCTACTTGGTGGCTACAAAAATGACTGAGGTGGTGATCCTAGGGCTAGCCTGGTTAGACAAACGGAAGCCGTTTATCTGGTGGGAGAAAGGAATGAGAACTGTGAGACTACCTATAGGGCTTAAACCTCCCACTGATTCAACCAATGTTGCGGGACACCTTAGGCCACCCAATGAGTGAGTGCACATAGATCTTGGCATTCTCCATGCCGTGCTGACACTCCTTTACACTAATAAAGGCTTTTTAGGTTAAAC